CATACTTCCAGCCTAAGAATCTTGGATGCCAATAGTTGTGAGTTAAATTCTGAAATGGCACGGAGTTACCTTTATGAAATGCATAACTCTTTGAAGTGATAACAGGCCTGAACTGCTTTTATCTCCCTCGACAGGGACTCCATTATAAAACAGCAATAATGTTCCCAAGCAGACAGCATGCCCCGAAACAGCTGTGATCTTACCTATCTTACAGATAGAGACCTTGAATGATCATCGGCCTTTGTGTGCTCAGTTTATCTTATAAAGCCATGTTGAAAGAAAAAAGCAGAGGAGGTGAACAGCAAAGCCTTTGCCAACTGTATTTCACTGTCTAATGAATACTTAGGAAAAATCATTTAAACACTCTTAACAGTTCTAGTGACACCATTTGTATGCGAGTGCCATCATTGTACTGAACAAACTTGGGATCCCTGGTATTTCTAGAAAAATTTTAAAGGAAAAAATACTGACCAAAAAAAAAAAAAGAAATGGTTTATGTGTGACCTTTAAGGCCCTTTTAGCAAAAGTAAATTAATCTATATAACATTCCAAACTTGGTATTTTCTATTACTGATTCCTTTATTACAACTTGAGTTACTACCATTTCTAGGGTTAGATGAGTTAGATGCAAAATACACAAGAAGCCTCATGGCTCATTTTTAACAGGTCAAACTAAATTTCTGCATCATTTGATACTGCAGCTGACACAGTTAAGTGTTAGCACTTCATTAATATTTTTACTTGGAAGTGCAGTATTTCTATTAATGGTGAGTCGCGCTAACATTCCTAAACCAGCCTGATCTGAACAGGTGGCACTACACTCTGCAATTTCATTCCTACTGGAGGTGCAAAACAGGCTGTGGAAAACTTAGTGCCATTTTTTAATTTGTCATCTGGGCTGTGGAGGTGGTGGTGGTGCTGAAGCAAGGGTTTGCTCCCTACCAAACTCTTAGGCTTCTGAAGGGCTGGAAGGTGGCAGAGCAGGCACAGCTGAAGGCATTAATGTGAGATTTTCTGCCAGTGATTTTGTGGGCACATCACCCAGAGGGAGCACAGAGGTCACCAAGCTGCTTGGAAGAGAACGGATAAAGAATGTTTATTCAGCATTTTCACATTAGGCAATGTGGGAAACACTCAAGAAACTCCTTGGCCATGTCCAGCATCACTATAGAATCTGTGTTTGCTTGCATGGACTTACTGTCAGCTTTGTCAAGCATTTCAGCTTTGTCTTTGAGGCAATCGCTATGCATGAGGGACAAAGTGTAGCTGAAGGTAAGGCTGTACTGTACTCCCTGGACAAGCTGGCAGGAGAGTGTAAGCTATGGCTCTGCTGCTCCCCACCACTGTGGCTGTGTTCCTGCATGGGGTCAACTTAGGTCATTCATGTCTAGCATCTTCTCTGGACCCAAAACGTTTCTTCTTGCTGGGATAGCAACAGAGTGTTGCTGGAGTGACGTGGTGATGGATATGTACCTGGCCACATAGTGCTAAAGGACAAGCATGACACAATTTCTTTCATCTGATATCATCTTTCTGGGTAAGCAGCAGCCCATGCTCTGTGGGATGTCAGGATGACCAATTCTGCTGGGGACTTCTAGCAGAAGGTCATTGCAAGTCATGGCAAAGGAAACTAGAAAGAAGAGGTAATTTCTCTGCTTGGGGCATAGACAGTGACCCTCCTTACCCACAGCCTTGCCAAAGTCACTAGCAGTGTGTAGTACATCCACAAAACCTGTACTCCTTTGCTTTCCACAGAATCGTAATAAAAGAAGGATTTATTTACATGCTTAATCTCTACTCCTACCTCAACTATAGCTGTAAGCTAGCCTGGGTCACGGGTAGCTGCCAGAAGCATAGAGAGGTGTGTAGTGGAGCCAAGGAAATGTAGTTTCTGCTATAAGCCTGAAAAAATCCTATACTCCCCACATTCTAATTTTTTTCTCCCTAGTTACTGGAATTCTTCCCAACAGCAGAGCTGCACCTACCTTGGAAATCCCCCTCTGTTTGGCTACATTTTCTCTTCTGCTCTCCCTGGTATAATACTGAAGATGGTAGGCAGCACTTCCTGGGACATATATCCAATTTCCTCTTCTTGCTTCTCCACTTCGAGGCTGCTCCTTGGCCCAATTCCCAAACCAGTCCTCAGGAAGGTCACCAAGGTCTCTCACAGCCCCATGCATCCCTACTGTGGGCTTCCCACTCTGCTTTACCCTCTTCCCTCTCCCTCCAGCTTGTGCTGTCTTTGCTCAGAAACCTGTGGTTTGTTGTGGGGCTGTAAGCCTATCCATGGGGGGAGTGGTGGGGTTTCAGCAGGGATATACTGCAGTCCAAACATTTACACTTTGAGTTCCTCCTCTATTATACAGGTGCCTGTGACATACACATAAAGAAAAAACCATATGATGCTTCTGTGTGGTACACAAAAATATGAACTTTGGTAGAGATTTGCTGGGAAGTGACGTGTCATGCTGTAGTCTCATACCTGGAGAACCGCTTCTCTTTTTCAATAGCTGACTTGGTAGCAATACAGAGAATGTATTAGATTAATAAAACACAGAGACATTTTATTTGAACCAAAAGTTAAAATTTTATTTGGAATATCAATATACCCCAAAAAATAAAAATAAAAATTTCCTTTTATGTAATGAAATAGCCATTTGAAAATGGTAAAATAAAGATATTTATCATACTATTTCTTCTAGTTATTGTACACATATTTAAGGTTTTTTTTTCTGAATATAAATCTAGCTTAAGCTTTAAGGCTCCAAAAAGCCTCAAGCATGTAGTGGCCCTTTTGAGAAAGCAGATAAGTCAATCAGAGCTGGGTTTTTTCAGCAGACAGGGCTGTTTGAAGCTGTCCAGGACTGGACAGATGTGAGATTTCTCAGGAAGGTCACTCTTTCAGGGGAGTATTACTTTATACCCATTGGGAAATACACTCTAACCCCTCTTCATGCAGCATTTTACATTATGATGTCCTGGGGAGGGCCCTGGTTCCCCTTAGCTGTCAAAATAATGTGCAGATTTAATGATATTTGTGTTGGTACAGTTGATTTAATTTAAGAAATCAAATCCTACCCTGTGATGTTTGCTCTGCCAGAAATTAAGTCAGTAACAAGATCCTGGTCCTGCCTTTACCCCTGTAAGCAAAAGGTTTCTGTGCCCATGTACTGCTGCATGGACTGCAATGGAGCATTGACGATAGCAGGATCAGGGACTTGTCTTTTGCTTGCTTTTAACAAAATAAATGGAATGGAAAATGTATTGAAATAAAACAGTGAAAACCTATCAACAATTCTGAGTTGTAATTCTTCCCGTTTAGAGGGCTCATTGATGCTAGACTGGAAAATATGACTGAAGACCCATGTCAGCGCCTGAGTAATGCCCCGGGTGGTTCATGTCACAACTAAGCAAACAAGGGAATTTAGGTCTTGCATCACTGTCTGCAAGTGGTCTCCAGTGGGCTGAAGTAAAGCTCTCTGAAGTCACTGGAGATCTCACCAACAATCTCACTTTCAGTAGGCACTGGAATAAGTCCTGAACTTAGGTGGTATAATCTGAAATCTGCTCTGATTTATTCCTCGATCAAAGCCATCTTTAATACTTAAAGTATGAGTATGTATATGATTTGTATATAAAGCTGTTATACTTCTGCTACTGGTTCTGAAGCACAGGATAGACTACAACTACTAAAGATATTACAGCATTAATGCAGTATATCTTGCACTGCTTACAATGCTCTTTCATGGTCATAATAACTGGTCTCTTATGCTCTTCGTTGCCTGAAGCCACCTGAATATTGATCCCTGAGGTACCACTGCTTTCAACTAAAATGTCACAGATTTTTACTTTCAGAAGAGAAAAATAATAAAATACACTCAGGACTTGAAAAAATTATTAAACGATGGATGTTCCTACAAACAAATCCACAGACCCATGTTTGCACTGAAGGAGCCACTTCCTAGTTAACTTCTGCAGGAGGAACCCCTACACACAAGCCTTATTCCTCCAGCCACCTCATCCAGGGCACCTGGTGCTATGCAGCCCACTCTTTTTCCATGTTGCCTTTGCTCATCTTGGAAAGCAGTGAGCATTCAGCCTGGAAATACTTTGTCCTGGCATATGGAATAAATGCCTCCTTGCCTCTCCTGCAACTTGTGCTCAATATTTTATGCCTACTACCTTGCTTGGCTCTTTCAAGTGATTCTTTTTGCACACTTTGGCCCTTATCTTGTATTACTTTAATGTGAGATTCTGGTGAGAGGTCTCTTTTGGAGCCACCTGTTCCTAGTTGTGTGTTATCAGTGAGCCCAGACATAAATCATTTTTGACTGAGTTACAGAAGGTCTGCAAGAAAAAGAAGTTTCCTTCTCATCACAGGCACAATTTAAAGAGGCTGCAGAATTACCCAAGTTTTTGTTCTTTTGCTAACTAGTTGAAAATATTTTCCTTAAAGTGCTCACTACAGAGAAGCAGCGTTAAGGAAGGGCCAAATTCAGCTGGCAGCTGCCTAAGCATAAATCCATACCGACCTTTCTGGTTTTATTTCAGTACATTGGATTAATGCATCAAAACATAAAACACAGACTTCAACACTGGCAGAGTGTTGAAAGTTACACCAGTGTAACTTTCCTGACTTCAGTAGTGGATCCCATAACAGCATTTCCAGCGTCTCTTGTGGCTGTCACAGGTCCCATAATGCTTGGTAAATTTATATAAAGTTTGAGTTCCCCATGGCATGTGTGCAAGCAACAGAATTACAGCTTTCTTTAAAACAATTAGAGAAAAAAGGGTTCTGGTACTGGGCAAAAAACCTTGAAAGCGTGACTCCAAGGCTCAAACCAGCAGAAATATAAGACCCAATTATCTTGTGGCTCATAGGTTGGAACAGCTGGAGTATTGCTGAGGTGTCACTACATTAGGGTTGACTGGCTCGGTTTTTGTACATGTGAGTGGGTTAAATGTGATATCTAAATATTATGCATGTATGTTTTAGTGGAGGGGAAAGTAAGAAAAACAATGTAACTTGCTTTTGTCTTATCCTCAAATTCTTTAATGCCAGTTACACCTTTGACTTCAGTGGAAAACCTCAGAGGAAAAGCCTAACAGAATAGTAAGGCCATAGGACCTGTGTAAATGCATGTGTGATGTCATCTCCTGAAGCAAATGGCATTGTGACAGCCAATTCCCAGAGTGACAATAAATGTACCCTAATTTACGACTGTACCTTACGTGTCTGATCTTGCTGCCCCTTCCCTACATGTACGCTTGTCTGCAGCCTAGTCCCCCGCCAGGATGCCCACTGAATTTGGTGCTGAGTAACCCCTGCACACCAGGGGTACATCTGCACTGCCTGTTGAGGAGGTCACTTGGGGTGGTGTCTGCGCTGGAGCCGCTTCCCAGGCAGCAAGGAAGCTGGCCCTCGCCCACCCAGCCTCGGCTGGTAGGGTAGTGGGCACATCGAGGAGCGGGTGCTGGGAACGGTGCAGAGGTACCCACAAGGGCTTTGGGAGGATGGGGAAGGAGCAGGTGAAATTCTTGCTCCACTGAAGTCAGTGTCAGCATTGCCAGCATTGCCATCCAGCACAGAGAGGTGTGGGGTTTTTTTATGCCATTAAGGAAAACGGAGTATGAAACATGGTAGGTTGTTGTTTGCAACCCATCCTGTTTTCTGCCTGTGTTACACTGAGGTCACAAGTCCCTGCCATGCTGCGATATCACTTCTCATAGATAAAGTTTATGGAGTTTTTAAGTCATGAGTCATAAGCCTCAAAGTAGCAGGAGATGTGCACAGTTCCTTCCCCTCTGCTCAGACAAAAGGCAGTCAGGCACGCCAGCTCTGTTCAAAGCAAAGCAAAGCCTCCACTGACTTCACAGAGTCCAAGACTTCTGCTCCACCTTCAGCTCCAGACATTGGACCACTTCCACCCCCTCTTGCTCTATTTGAAGAACTCAAGACACACAGGACTGAGGGTCTAAATGGCACCATGGTGGACTTCTACCAATGCTTATCAGCTAATTGCAGCTTGACTTTAATTTTGCCTTTTCCACTCTTAACCGGTCTTTTTAACCTGCTTTTTAGCCAGGGCAAAATTAAACATGAGGAAAAAGGCTTATTTAGCATTATAATTATCTACTCCCAAGCTGTATAACAAAATGGTTTACACATTTAATTGGTTTTGTCTAATATTTCCACGTATACAGTAGTCCTATTAATGAATATCATAGCTTCATTACTGCATATCACATTTTGCTATGTTTTGTACGATAAAATAACGTCAGCACATCAATAACTTAAATAACACAAATGTAAACTCATTTTCTGCTTGTTATAATTATGATTTTAGCCTGAATAGGCTTTTGATTTGTAAGACCATTCACATAATATGGAATGTAACTTTATTTGTTTTTCTTTTGTATATAATGAGACACCAAAAGCCCTTGTCATCTCTTAACAGGATACTAAAGCAGCTCTGTTTCATGAATGACAGCACAATTAAAGCTAAAAATCATAATTAAGAAAACCCTTTTGTACTGTACAATCTCAAATTAAAGCAAGAAAGATAATGACAATCTTATGCATTAGCCAGGAAACGTGATTCTCTGCCACTGGGTTGCTTTTTCTTGTTGACAATTCACAGAATGTGTATATGGGTGTAGTTATAGGTGTGTGTATATCCTATGCAGAACAGCAGTCCCTATTTTGTTGATCTAGTTCTTCTAATTTTTTAGTTAAACTACCTAGCTGTTACAATTTAGAATACTACATTAACACATTTAACATCAAGTTTACATACTTGCATCTTTGAAATACTAGGAACTTTTACACATTTTATTTGGCTTTGTAAGGACTGAAATATCACAGATAATGCAACCTACTTGTCTTCGAAAGAATATGGCTGTTCTCAACTAACTCTCTAATGTTCAGAGTGAAATATGTTTCTCCTTATATCTGTAGCTGACTTCAGAAAAGAAAGAATGTCCTCTTAAGTGGTCAGTTACAGTACAGATTCTGCAGAGATACATATATATGTAATGAAGGATAATTCTCTCTGGACTTTAGAGTCAAGCTGTTGCAGCAGAATTACTTCGTTTAGACTAATTTTTCCTATACAAATCTCAAGAAAAACCTATTCCAAGTATGTTTTGTAGTAGTATCTCCACATGACCAGAGGAGGGCACTTTAAACATCTTTGCACTGCCCAGGAGGCAGATGCAGAAGCACAGTGATACCCAATGTCGTGCAGTCCTGCCACCTCTTCCAACCCAGGCAGGCACCCTTGCATCCACAAAAACACAGAATCCATATTGTACCACAGGGCTCTGTTCTGAAAACAGTGGGCAGATATATCACTCTCTTCTCACTAACTAGGATTTCTTCCGATTTCCCCCATTTAATTCAGTGTTGCTGCAGGCTAAATTAAGAGTAACGGATAATTCCTAAAAATCACATTAGGGGAGTTGTCTCCCTCTCCTTCCTGAACATCCCTCTGCTATTAGCCCCTGTTAATTTAGCAAATATTGATTGATTGATTTAACCCTCTATGACTTATCCTGCTGTAGAAATTCCTTGCCTTTAACTGAAAAATGCACTTGGAAAATGCACTCTCTGAGATATGTATTGCAACAGTGCATCTTTTCACATTAAACTCTTGTAAAAGTACTGCTCCTTTCCACCTTCTGAGGGAGGCGACTCTGTGTCCCAGATCTGCTCTCCTGACAGAGTACATAGCAGAGAAATCAATCTCTTCTCTTTTTCATTCATGACCACAGTGTGGAGTTCAGCAAGTTTCCATGCAGGAAACATCCTTTTCAGCTTCATTTTGGCTAAAGGTATCAACCTTCTATAGAAAAGATTTTAATTCTGCAATCTTACTGCTATCATAGATTTTTTTTTTGTCACTTCTGCTTTGTTTTGTTCAAGTTTAACGCTGAGAAGTTATTAGAAAGGATTTAGAAATTTTTTTTTTTTAAATAAAAGTCTCTCCTCCACCCTGGGGAAACACACTGCTTATTTAACATACTTTCCCCCCCTCAACATTATTCCATTTCTCTTTTCTTCTCTTTTCTTCTCTTTCTTCTTTCCTTTTTTCTTTTCTTTTTTTTCCCCTTCTTTCTTTCCACCTTTCTTTTCTAGAGCAGACAGGTACAAGAAGGAAGTTGTCTTTCATCAGCAGTCCTTTGAGATAGAGTAGAATTCAGTGAGTCCTCACCATGATAGGATCATAAACTTACTGGGTTAAACCAAGCTAACTTTCTCTAAGCTGCCAAGTTTTAGCTGCACCATACATATATGTTTCCTTGTGCCTTTTTTTCTTATAATTTTTTTTTTCTTGATGACCCTGAGCTATGGCTTCTCATTTCTACCACTAGTCAACCTTCCTTTCTTTTCTGGTTTTGCCAATATAGGCCTCAAAGAAAAAATGGCAGAAGAGCACAAAGTAGCTGAGGTACATGAGAGAGGACCAGATGATGTTCTGCACGTGGGAATGGCACTGGCCCTGCTGCATCCAGGAGAAGACCAGGTAATTGATCACGCAACCGATCAACATCTGAGTGATCTGCGACAAGGTGATGAACATGGCAAACTTGCGTGAGACTCTGAAGCCAGCAGCCCGCAAGGCATAGTAAGAGTACATAACAGCGTGTACTCCATAGTTCATGGTCATGAACCAGCCGCCGCCAGCCACCATGTCCTTGTAGGAATACCAAGAATAAAGTAACACAGTAATGTGATGGTACCAGTGTAAGAAGATGAGCTTCTGTTTCCTAAGAATAATGAATATAGTATCACCTGTAACAAAACAAAACAAAAAAACAAGGGGGAGGAAGAAATGAGAAACATATTAAACAATTCTATAATTAATGCAGTGCTCTCTTCCCTTTCCTGTTGCTGTAGTATACACTACTTTGGAGCAAGAAAAAACACCTCAGCTCTAGATCTGAGAGCTTGTCTGATCCGAGAGCCAGTTTGGCTCCTAATCTCTATGCAATCTTTAGAAAACCAGTGTATCTACATTTTCCTGTGTGAATAATCCCCATTTGAAAACTCCATAGGTTTACATGGCAGCCCTTTGCTGCAAACATAATCCATGAAAGTCTGAGGTGAGGTAGGCAGATGTATGTGTATCATCTCTGACTGTGAGACTGTCCATTATATACAATCACTGGAAGAGAAATGCAATAGAGAGCAGAAAACCTGAAGAGGAAGCAGCACACTGTCCTCTGATTCAAATGTCTACATGGAAACTTAACCTAGTTAAAATCAGTAGAGCCTTTTGAGCTAATATCCAAAAGGCTATTGCATACACAACCCACAATACTGAAAGGTATGTTATTGTGAGGCAGACAATAACATAAATTTCTTATAGAAAGAAATTGGGGTTTTGTTGAAATGCACATCCTCTTCAGGCAAATTTATCTTACTATTGTAGAAAAGTAAATTTTATTCCTCTTTCCTGCTTTTTTTCTTCCTTCTGCTTTTTGTGATTGCAATGAGCATCTCAATTAGATATACAGATATATGTATGTTACTTGGTTTCCATTGTTATAGGCACAGTGTTTCCAAAAAAATCCCTGAGATTTGAATCTGGGGACTTATTTTGATTTATATGAAATAGATTTATATAGGATAGATTTAAGGAAATCTATATCATGAATATTAGTCATGGTGGAAGCAAAACTGCACTGTCTGCACAAGGTCTATAATGAGCCATAATGCTACTGTTTACTTCATTAGCTTGAAGATGTTGATTCACATTTTAATAAGTAATCATGTTCAATTTATTGTTGCTGTGCAGTTCTAGCTGATGTCTCCCAGTTTTCACAACTACATTTCTGTGGGTTTGCAGTAATTTAAGCAGCAGGAAAACAAGGGATTCTGACACAGCAAGGCAACTGGTGTCTGTCTCTTTCTAGTTTTCATGCTGATGAATTTCTTTGCTCTAATTTTCTGAATCAAATTATCCACTGAAAGGTAAAGTCTTATTTTTGCTGTACACCTGAACACAGTGATAGCTGCAGCCCTTTGAGGTTTAGTGAGAACATCCTCTAAAATGAAAGCTGGAGGGCTGCTAAATCATTGCCTCCTCCTTTCCATTAAAGCAATCTTTTCTTACACTAATAAGTTGTGAATGAGAACACATTAAGACTATTAAGTTGCCTTTGGCATGTTTATCATAAATATCCTTACCAGAAAAGTTGTTGGAAAGATAGAAGTTCATAAGAATCAGGACTGGAAAAGCTAGAGATATTATGGGAAATTTGTTTCTATTCAGAGGAAGCAGACAGCCACAGCTTTCAGTGCTCAGGGAGGAAGCACTTAACTGTTCCTAATTGTATACTTAGATGTGTATTAAAGGATGAATGCTACAGAATGGAGGCAGAACCTGACTCAAAGCTTCTTGCTCACACAGCTGCTACAGCCCAGCCTTCACTTCTGTACCCATGGGGTCAGTGACTGACAATTATGCTACTCCTATTTATCTACAAGCAGCTCAGGAAGAAGTATGTACCAGGTTGCTTTTACCTCTTGACTACCCTGCTATGTATAATCACTGCAGTTTGTTCCTGGGCTGGGAATGGTCTTATTCAACTGCACATTGCTCTAACTTAGCCAGGCTGGAATTAATCTCTAGAGACTAAAATATGCAGTTTGGGCTTCGTTTATGTTTATTCAGTTTTTCTAAGACTTAAATGAGATTTTGACAGCACTGAGACCCTTCTTGTGCTTCCTGCATGGACATTTCTGCTCTAAATATGCACAGTGAGAGAAAGAGAGAGGGTACTCACCTAGTTCGGGTGCTTTGCTTAGCACAAAAGCATATGCCCAGAATTTGCTGACAGGTCCAATGTAAAAACTCTGGTCACACACTGACTGTTTCAGGCCTTTGGTCATCAAAATGTACAGCATATAAGCACCAGTTCGAACAGCACCGAATATACTTTAAAACAAAAAGAGAAAAAAAGAAAGTTAAGTGGACATTTGAAATCTACGTGCCATCACTTCAAATTATCAAGGGAAAAAGGCCATAAATGTGCTGAAATAATAAGTTTGAGACAGCCTAAAAGCTGAAGCAACTCTGCTGGCTTCTAGGAATTTATTTTGAACTCAGACTTGTAAACTGGACTGCAGCTGTATCCCCTGGTGAAAGTCTGGAATGGTAACATCAATGGTTTCATTTCATTACTACAGGAACGATCCTTTAGTTTTCAGGAGCAGGGAAACATCTACTTCAGCTCAAAATGACATGCAGAGTTTTGCTGCTGATGGCCGGGAAACTAGAAGAAATGAGTTGATAAAGAGCTGTATCATCATGATAATCAGGACAAATTCCCTCTTCTGGTTTTCTCAGAGTTTTCTCTTGTCTCTCCCTGCGCTTGTTATACCCACAGGAGCTGGAGCACAGGCAAACCCAGGCAGGACATACAGATCTTGATGGAGTGTCTCAGTCAGGGCTGGTGTTTTGGTGTACATGCTTGACTTCATCTCTTAATGGGTCGCTGCTAACAGAGGGAACCACCAGTTGAATCAAGCCGTAAACAGCAGATTCACCCTCACCTCATCAAAGTGAGATGTAAGGTAACAGTGTTCTGTAAATTAGAAACATTGAGAGATTTGCAACTATATTAATTTAGTGCAATTACAGAGGGGATAGGTTGACATCCAGCTGATATAAGGAACGAAGGCTTCTTTCTCAGCAGCAAGGAGCTCTGCAGAAGAAACTGACTCACTTTTACAGCAAGAACATGCTTGCCCCTTGCCTACCATTGTAGCTTGTTGGCCCTTTATAAGTGTTGGTGAATACTAGGTGAAGGAAGTAGCTTTCAAGAAAAAGGAAGAAAAACGGACCCAATCTCATTTGAGGTTGAGTATATCTTACTTTATGCCTACATCGTATCCCCTTTTCCCTCTACCCAGCTCCATCTTATCTATCTCCCTCTAATTTCTTTGTGACCTTGACCTACCCTGGTTCCTGCTCTGCCTTGTTGTCTTTCATGACTATAGCCTGGCAGCAGGCAAAACAAGCCACATAAAACTGAAGTATAAACACATGTGGGCAATGCATGCTACCATTTATGCAAAGTATGTGAAATAAGGAACAGTTCCTCTGAAGTTATAGATTCTCTGTTATTTGTCCTTGTCTTGTGAAGTCAGTATTTAAAAAACATGTATTAAAATCACCAAGGCAGCCTCAAAAGTTGAGGTCTACGGCAGTCCTTTTGGCACTTGGTCTGACTAGATGGTTCTAGTAAGCCTGCTGAACACAAATACTGCTTACTTAAACTTTTATATGATTTGCATAAAGTATTTAGATTTTCAAATCTGCACCATTGACATACGCAGTCAAATCTGTCTGCTGCTAAGCAACAGTGCAACTTGCTCTCCCCTGCCCACTGCAACCAAGTGGAGTACCACACTGTCTGGTGCTCCTCGGGCTGTCAGTGGCATCACAGATGGGGCTCTACAGCCAGGTAATGCCCAGGGAGAAATGCTACATCTTGACTCCCCCACCATTATCTTCTGAGGCAACCATTGTGTGAGGTTTCACTGTGCCATCAGGAAATTCATACAAATGTGAGCACTTATGAAGCTACTATTATTATTTGCTATTTGCATAGGGGTATTTGCTCATGGGCTCTATTGCCAGATGAGTCCTCTTGAGCTATGTGCAAATAAACAACCCTCCTGCTGTGGTACAGGTATGCTGAAGAAGTTCAGCTGAGCCTGAGTTTCCCATTAGCACTGCCCACAGCAATGCCTGCATTCCCAGGCTTAGGCAGGACAGCTACTGCAGTCTCTCGTGTTCATCCACCCCTGTGGGCAGAAAAGACAGTGCAGTATTCTTAGCATCTATGCAGCCCATAGCATATCCTCTCCACGAAGGTTGTTTCCTCCCAGAAATGCTCTCTCAGCACACTTTTCTTATGTCTTCCAAGCATTGGTCCTTTTACGTCAGCAGACTGCCAAAACCGGCAGGAGGAGTTTTGAAATGAGGTGCAACTCATTCTGTGTCTTCTCTGGCATTTAACACATGCACTTTTTTTTTCTCAGGAGTTGCATTTCTCATTCCCAAGAAGACAGGAGATCCTGACAGCGATGTGATCTGATCACCTCCTGAGGCAGTGAACTCCTCAGGCTAGCCAGGGCATGCTGCTGCTTGCTCCTATGTTTTGGGTGGTGGCAAAACTGGGTGGAGGAAGATCAGACAGAGTACCTAATGATACGCTGGTTCTCCCATTAGCAAACACATCACTGCTGACATTAAAATGGGAAAAAAAGGAAATTTTAAATTATAAAATCAAATGGCTGCAAGCAATATCCCTTTTCTTGTAAAGTAGCTACATTGCCTTTTTAAAAAATAATTTATTAATAAAGTTTTAAAACCAAAGAGAATTCTGTGCCTTGAACACAAACCCAGATGAGAAGAAAGCTTGTTCGAGCAACAGGCAAACATTGCTTTAACTGTGATTGCGTATGGACACCCAGAGATCTAATCTGGACTGATAACAGAGCCAAAGAGTCTCCCTTTGCTGTGCTTGAGATTATATTGATGGTCACACACTGACTGTTTCAGGCCTTTGGATTACAGAGTCTCCCTTCGCTGTGCTTGAGATTATATTGATGTAGTTCTTCCTGTCTTTCTGTTTAGCAAGTATTGCAGAGTTCTCCTTGGAGTGCACTTGCACACACACATTCATTCACACTCACACACTTACTTTTCTATAATTCCAGAGGATGGTGGCTTCCTCTAGTTCTATGACTCTAGAAGTGAGTCCAGTTACTGCTCTACACAGTGTGAGTCAGACTAATCTGAATTTTCATCAGCAGAAACCAAGTTACATTTTCGTGTAACTCACAAGGGAAGGTCTTATGAGTAAGGAGGATAGCAAACTAGAAGTAACTGATTCAATTACCTAAATAGACACTGTGAGCAGGTAGCTGATATGAGATGTGCTGCATGCCAAAACACTACCTTGAGAACAAGTACGCACCATTGGAGACAGGAAAAGGTCTAATGCACAACTGCAAATGTGTCTTGGACCCAGAGAGCCAGGACTGCTTTTTGTGCCTCTACCACTTAATCTTGTTTTTTCTGTAAGGTAAGATCAACCAACAAATTTCTATCTTGCAAAGACATGATGTGCAGCAGAGTGATGACACTGCTTGCTCAGTAAATCACTTCTGCTTCATTCTGTCCTCGCCCTGGTCTCTGCTGTAGCTTTTGTGAGGCATTGAAATGAACTGCTTACCAAAGCAGTCTGTCTGGTGGGAATCATCTGCAGGGATTTTAGAAATAAGGTAGCAGTGAATTACTGTACAATTACAGTCTTTTGCAACTAGAGAGACCGATCAGAAACAAACTGCACCAGCTAATGCAGCGTTCTCATCTATTCAGACTCAAAATATCCTACATTGTCCTCCCTTCAGGCAGTGACTTCTCTTGTAGATTAACAAATGCCCAATTTATATTTTTAGTGTCCATAGTATGATCAAAATACATCCATGAGTAAAATAAAAACTAATACTTTTCCCTCTCAAACTTATTTTCAAACAAGGGTTGGTGGCTTGACTGTGGCTGGATGCCAGGTGCCCACCAAAGATGCTCTATTAGTCTCTCCCCTGGGCAGGGGAGAGACAATAATCAAAAGGCTCCTGGGTCAGGATAAGGGCAGGGAGGGATCACTCACCAGTTACTATCATGGGCAAAAGAGAGTTGACTTGGGGAAATGATTTTATTACCACACAAATTAGGGTAGGGTAATGAGAAATAAAAACTAAACCTTAAACCCCCCCTCCCCTTCTCTTCTTCCTGGGTAGAACTTTACTCCTGAATTCTCTACCTCCTCTCCCCAGAGGCTCAGGGAGGAGGGAATGAGGAACAGGGATTGTGGTCAGTTTTATCATGCGTTGTCACTGCTGCTTCTTCCTGATATGAGATGTGCTGCCACTTCCCCTGTTCCAGCATGGGATCCTTCCCACAGGTGACAATCCTCCGCAAACGTCTCCAACGTGAGTCCTTCCTGGGAGCTGCAGATCTCCATGAACTGCTCCAGTGTGGGTCCTTTCTGTGGGGGGCAGTCCTTCAGGAACAGGCTGATCCAGTGTGGTTCCCTGCGGGGTCCTAAGTCCTGACAGCAAACCTGCTCCAGTGTGGGCTCCTCTCTCCACAGGTCTACAGGTCCGGCTGAGAGTTTGCTCCAGCACAGGCTTCCCACAGGGTTACAGCCTCCTTTGGCCTTCCACCTGCTCTGCTGGGGTCTTCCATGGGTTACAGGTGGATTTCTGCTCCACCATGGCCCTCCATGGGCTGTAGGGGCACAGCTGCCTTACCACAGGCTACAGGGTAATCTCTGCTCCAGTGCCTGGAGCACCTCCTCCCCCTCCTGCATTGACCTTGGTGTCTGCAGGGCTGTTTCTCCCACATATTCTCACTCCTCTCTCCATCTGCAACTGCTGTTGAGCAGTAACTTTCGTGGTTCTTAAATATGTTATCCCAGAGGTGCTAGCACCATTGCTGATAGGTTGGCCTTGGCCAGCCCTGGGTATGTCTTGGAGCTGGCTGGCATTCACTGAGGAAGCTTTTAGCAATTTCTCACAGAAGACACCCCTGTAGTCCTCATGTTCCCAAACCTGGCCATACAAACACAAAAAAGAGGACCTCAAAACACATTCTATGCACAGGTTAGGCACAGCATTAAGGAGGGAAACTGAGGGCTGGGGAGTGGCTGACGGGAAGACAATGCAGGCGTTGAATACTGAAGACAATGCAGGTGTTGAATGCTGAAGCTGCTTTCTGCTGTCTCCACCCTAATTGTCAGGAAGGAATGAAGTACTTGTTTCTCAAAAGCCCAAGAGGGCAGCAGGTAGCTCAAGACTTCAGTCCAACCCCAGCTGCCATTGTAGCAGGCTCAGCTCCTCCTCACAGTGGAGGTCACTGCC